TTTGCCAGGGAGGGTCACGGCAGCAGCAGAGTCCAGCACCCAGTGGAACACCACCAGCAAGGAACATGACGACACGTCCACAGAGCAGCTTGCCTGTGTTCTCTTAACAGCCAGCTTGTTCTTCCAGCGTGGACCTCTCATGCGTGACCCCCTGGAGACAGGAGCTGGAGGTCACGATCCTCCCTGCAGCACAGCCGGTTTTGGTGGGCGTTTGCAGGTGAAGCTGGCGAGGCTTAGACCTGGCACCAGCCACTCTCGCTGCTGCTGGCTCTGGCAGCACCACTGTGTGTGTGGGGATGGGCTGGGGCTGCCAGGCAGCACCTCTGGCCAGCACAGAGCCAGGTGGGTGCAGGCAGAGCCCAAACTGGGGCCTCAGAACCAGCTATACCTGGGGCAAACCTGAGCTGTGCTTACCAACAGCTCCCATTTGGCAGAGTTTTGATACATACAGCGAGGAAGGCCTGGTGTGCATGGAGATTTCCGAAATCAAACCAGCTGAAACATTTCATTTTTTTCCCCTACACGTCTTTCATACATTGACCTAAAAACCACCAGTAGAATAACTGGAAGGTGAAAGAGGTGGTTTCATTCTCAGCTTTAGTTTGTCCAAATTACTTCCACCCACAACACAGGCCTCTCCCTCTCAGCTTGGCACACGCACTTGGCTGCCAGATCTGAAAAATCCATCTTCTGCCCTGATCTATCCTGGACATCTGTTGTTTTGGGAGACTGCGTGTGTTCAGTGCTGGGCTGTTTGGCTCTGGTGAAGTCACTTGAGAAGCGAGTGTCCCAATTCCTCATCCTCCAATGAGCCAGCTCTTCCCTGTGTGAACAGCTCCGTTAGCTCACCCAATGCTCCTTAATGGAGGGAGATGTAGACCTTCCTTTGCTGTGGCAGTGGCAAGGTTTTGCGAGTGCTCTCCTGCAGCCTGAGGTCAGAATGGGCGCTGCCAGTTATTAATTAAACACTCATGGGAGGATAGTTCAGCTTTTGCAAGCCAGTCTTAGCCTGCTCCAATTTCAGACATCTCTCCAGCCTTCCCATCCCCAGCAGCTGGAAATGGTCCCTTCTCCACCAAAGCAGCTCCTCCAAGGCCAGGAGCTGTGTGCTTACTGCATCCTCCTCCACCCATTTGCCTGGCAAAGCATTAATGGACATCCTTGACATGAAACACCGGCAGAAGCATGGGCAGGGAAACAGCTATCCCTCAGCAAACACTATCCCCTGTTGTCAGATACAAGCGTGACTTAACAGTGCTTGAAGACAAAGCTCTACTTCCCCCTCCTCGGATTTCTGAGACCCTGCTTGCCCCAGACCAACCCAGTCCTACTGCTCTTGTGTTTCTGACAAGCCCAAACCAGCTCCATCACCTGCAGGCAGCTGAATCCCAGCAACATCAGCGCAGCCTTTGCAAGCGTGGAAACCAAGCTGGGGAAACGCGGAGTTGATGACACCTCTACGGAGGGGACGGAGGCTTCTCAGTAGCGTGCACCCAACCCCAATGGACACCACTCGCTTTAAGAGCATCCCAAGTGCCGTTGCAAACAGCTGACATCAGCAACGTTCCCTAGCTGGACCAAAACCACGGGTAACAACACTGCATAATGCCGAGTGCTCAGTCATCGCTGCTGCAGAGCTACCCTGTGGCAGACAGCAGCTGCTTGACCCGCAGTCTGATGTTGCCAGGACACAGATGCCCAGCTGCACAGCCAACATGTTAGCACACCTTTGTACCCATGCTGGTTTTCCCTTTAACACCAAAAATAACTCGCAGTAAAGTTTTAAGAGATATTTTGCTTGAAGCCCAAAAAGACCACAAGAAATTTCTCTGCCGGTTCCACCCCAGGACACACTTGCTCCTCTCCTCACAGGGAGGTTAGGCCAGGGAACAGCTCACTCTCCTTCCTGCCAGGGACTGGCTGCCTTTTGCTGAAAGGCAGTGCACAGTTCCTGCAGCTCTGCAGCTGGCAGTGAGCTTCACGGAGCCTGCAGGCAGCACAGCCTCTTCCCTGCACCGTCACCCCGTAAGGATCCAGCCTCCTGGGGGAGCCGTATCCCGACAGCCACTGCTCAGGAAAGACTTTTCTCCCAGAGCTGCTGCCTCATGGTAACACAGCTCCCAACACCCAGTGGTTCAGTCCCCTGCCCTTCAAGAAGAGAAGGGTGCAGAACAGGCACGCTCACTGTGCCAGGACCAAAACTGCTGAGGACAGAGGTGCTGCCCAAGCTCCTGTTGCCCACACTGCATCCCTGCTCCTGGCAGCTGCTGCTCTTCTGTCCTAGCACTCAACTTCGTGCTCCCTGCTAGACCAGCCCTGTGTCAACCTCTCAAGTCTCTGCAAAAACTTAAATTTTTCTTACAGTGCTCGCTGTTTTAAGATGCTCAGCTCCATTCTACAAGCTGCCACATCTCCTTGAGCCTCGAAATGAGGGCATCTCATCTCAGGGCAGATGCCATCGCTTTAGTTCTCTTGGTGATAAGCACTAGGGATACCTGCTTCTAGCCATGGAGTCTCCCCTGAAAACAGAAACCTTAAGAGACTAAAAGCTTGCAGCTGGGCAACTGCAATTACCAACTTATTCACCAGAAGCCTTGAGGAGATCCAGAGAACAATGTCTCTTCTGCATGGTCATGGCCACTAGAACTGTAGAGAACTGCACAGACCAAGAGACTCTGCTGGTGGGACTGCAGGCAAGCAAGGAATAAAGCAAAGGGTCAGGTAAGCAACTCTCCAGCTCAGCACATTTTACAGTGGTGCTTGAAGTCCTGCTCTGGCCCAGCCTTGGGCGTGCTGCAAGGCAGCAGTGGCTCTGCCATGACTGCATGTCACGGGGCAGAGCCAGCGGCTGAAGGAGCAGAACAGCTTACAACACTTGGCTCAACCTGTTTAATCAGCCAGTAAAGCACAGATCTAAGCACTTGCTGCTGCTTCCACTACAAACACTTCCAGCCCTTTCTAAAAGGGCAGGACTTGAGCCTGCAGCACAAGAGACCCAAGAATCCCCAAGAGCTTCTGGCTCAGGTATTTACAAAAATCAAACTCTTAAAGGAACCCCACGCTCCCACTATTTCACAAAACTTCAAAGTGCCAGAAGTTACAGGAACTGCACAGTGGATTATCCAGGCAACATTTATTAGAGCATTTCAGGTATACAATGGATTTTACTGATGGCTGTGAGCAGCTAAGATGCAAACAGATGCCAGTAGGAAAGGGTGACTTAGAACGAGCAGGCTATGCAATTCTTATGGGAAATTAAAGATTTCAGCTTAAACAAGAGGAAAAGAAAGTACCAGACTAAAAGACTGAGCAAGTTTGGGGATGAGGAGAAAATAAAGAAGTTTTTATTTGAGATCACTTACTTAATTGGCAACTCAAGGGTAGCAGAAGCTGTCTGCTATTGCACTCTTCTCTTGGCATCCCAAGGACCAAAGAGTTTTTTCCACCGAGAACAGGCAGCATTTTCCCTGGTAAGAACAGAGGCCTGCACCAGCGGGCGATTCTGGAGCCCTAGCTCAGCACTTGGAGATTTAGATCCCTGTCTTTGCATTCTTATATGTGAGAACCAGGCTGCTGGACTTCCATCAGCAAGGAAGCAATGCAGACTTTCAGCAAGAGCACACTAAAGCTATCAGCTCCTCCCTATAAGGCAGCTTTAGGTCAGGCCTCTCTTTGGGTGCCTGAGCCATTGTTTAAAAAAGCAAGGACCACATGGCAACAAGACTACGAGGTCCTCTGACAATAACAAGGACTGTGCGTGTTTCCCAAGAACTATTTCTGAAAGACACGTCCTTAAAAATATCTTAAAGCAGAGACTCCTCCATTGATGCACAAAAAGGGCACAACTACGGAGGAACTGAATGATGAAGTGATCAACTCATAAAAAGCACTCACAAACCAGAGGCTGTATACTCTGCCTGGTTGGCAAGTTAGAAATTCTGCATTTAAGGTAATAGCTGCCTCGACCGTGTCTTAGTCTCCTGCATTTATTAACAAGGAGCAGTTGAATTCAAGAGCTTAAAAAAATACAATTAAATGCTTAATATTTAAAAGGGTCTCTCCAGAATGACTGTCCTTCAAGACTACTAAGCTCTGAGGTATGCGATGGCAACTTAGTAGTCAGGCTAGTAGAACGCAGCAGAGTTTCTCAGCTTCCTGAATACACCTTCGTTAGCCAAATGAACCATAATTCTTTCTAGCAAAATTGCTTAAAAATGTGTCTTCAGCAAAGACCATTTAAAAATTCTGGTCGACAACTGATCTGCAAGTAAAATTAAAATATTAGAAATGGTAGCAACACAGCGTTTAATCAAATCAGATCCGATTACTACAAAAACATGCTGAGGACAGCCACTCAACTCGTATCCTGGATGCTGCAGTGCCTTCCTCCCTCGTACCCTACAACTGCTTTTTAAAAACTGTTTGTCTGAAGGATAACAATGGAAGACGAGTCAGGATTTCATGACAGATTTCAAACAGAAGGGCATACATACATTAAATTAACAGATTCAACCTTCAGCACAAAGGAGTTTGATAGAGTTACCGGCTAGAGTCACAGAAAGTTCCAAATTTGAACAGTCTTGAACCTCTTCCAAAAATTCCAATGACTTTTTAAATAGTTCCAACAATTAATGGGCATATAAAACTGAGACAGACTTCTCCAGCAGAAGAGTTGGGGCTCTTCCAGGCTAACCAGACCACTGGTACAGAAGGGAGTTGATGTGACTTCCCCCACCTTCCTACCAGTCCACTAACGACTATGATCTTTTAAAATCTTCTTGATTTCCTGACAACTGATTTAACAGGCAAAAGCTGCAGACTGTGTCAATCATAGTGGATGGCAGTATAGAAGATTATCCAAACAACCTGTGGAGAGGAAAGGAAGTGAAGGTTACTTTGATGCCTCTGGAGAGGGCTTGGACACAGAAAACAAACCTCACGCCTTGCTGTCACCAGAAGACTGGGTACTGAATTCCAGCTCTGAGGTGGTCTTGGAGAGATGTTCAGATCACCATGTGCCACACACAGTGGCATTCAACTTGCCTGTCTTCTGAGGTGACCAGCCTCTCCACATTAAAATCCCACTACAGTCCCACCACCAGATCAAGTGCTGAGCGTATTCAGAGACCTCAGGGAGGGGAGCGAGGGAAAAACGACGACACCTAAACCACCAGTTTGGTTGAGTGTAACTAGCTCTGGATGAAACTTCACCAGGACATCTGAGACAGAGGATAGGAAGACATAAAAGTTAAGTGGTAGATGCAGCAGCATAGCTGCCTGTTCCTGCATCACAATCCCAGGTATTAATACTGCATTTCATACGCAGTAGCCATCAGGTTTTGGTATTTTCTTTCCCAGTCAACTCCACTTATTAGATGATGTTAACACACCTCTCTTCTGTCAGCACACCACCACACCTGCTTCTGTTCCAGGTCTTTTCCCTCAGAAAGTGTTCCAACACAGTTCACTGATCAACTTAAAGCAAGCAAGAGGCATTACCAGAAACAGTGCAAAAGATGTCATGAATCCTTCCTTTGTTAGCTCCCATGTCCCACCATACTCTTCCTCATCAATCTGCTGGAAGCTACTGAAGTAGAGGTACAGAACTCCAGCATTGATCAGGCAGAATCTGGAAGAGAGAGGTTAGGAACTGTCACTTCGGTGACACGGTGCAGGTATCTGACACACCATGCAGGGACGCAGCAGTGAAACGTCTTCCATCCACAGCAAAGAGGAACCCTGTGAGCAGCTCTGTGACTGTACACACAGAGAAACCACACACACACAGTTCTAAAAGTGTTTAGTTTTACCCCTGCACACCAAATCACTTATTTCTCATTAACACTTAGCATAGGAATTGGCTTAGGTGCCTGAAGGTGCTTTGTGCATTAACGGATGACTAAGAACAATGCTTCTCAGCTACTCCACCGCTGCTACTTGGGAGCACTGTAGATTTAACTGTTTGCATGTAGCTCTAGAGTTCCTGTTGGAGCATCACTGCTTCACAGCCCCTTTTCCCTAAATTTAAACTCCCCCCCTTTTTCCCCCCCCCTCAGAGACACTTGCTGCTACTCCCTCCACTTTCTTGCCACAGCCAGGACCCTCGGGAGGAGGGACAAGACGACAAGCCAAGGAAAAGCTGTGAGGTTGTGAGCTTGAATAGGAGACCTTCGCTAGGCAGAGACGTTTGCAAACAGAGACTCCCAGAGCAGACACAGCACCTTCCCACAGCTGGTGCTCAGAGAGCAGGGCTGTGCTCCCCATCCCCGGTGTCCTTCAGAGGTTTGCAGGCACGTGCCAGGGCCAAACAGATTTTCATTCCATAACCCACAGAGTGCTCAGTGCAGCTTCAGACCCCTGCTGGGAGGTAATCCCACGTCTCAGTGGTGATTCAATGTGCACGTACCCATCTGGGCACTGCCTGCCCCCGTGCTGTGGCTGAAGGAACAACTCCAGCAAGCTGGGAGTGCAGCAGGAGCACTGTGCCTGCATGTTTCCTATGGTCTTTGGTGTTTTGAAGAAACTTCTTCTTTCTCAAAGAGAAGCTGCCCCTCTTGTCTAATAAGTGAATCTCCTCTCTGAGGAGGGGTCCTGACTCAAAGAGAAGGACAACCCCACCTTTCCCTCCGTGTTCCTTACTCCCCAGGTGCCCACACCAGGCTCCAGCCCCTAGACACACGTGCAGTTCACAAGGCCATTCACAAGTCAATTGAACTTCCTCTTCCCCTTTTCTACCTCACCCCCTTTAATAATAATAAAATAAATAATAAATTTAAAAACATTCACCAGGCTGAGAATAGAGAAAGGCTGATGAAGACATGTTCTGATTTGTATGAATTTTACAACAAACAGTCTGGAAAGTAACGCTGGCTTTAAGATGTGAGGCAGACAGAGACTGCACGTGGCCAGGCCGTTGTTTATAGCACAGCTTTAAACCAGACACCAAGTAAAATCCAAACGTGGGAAAGTACATGAGAGGGAAAAGGAAGTAAACCTTACACTGCTATTCCCACGAATCCCTTCAGTGGAACTACTCCCCAGATGATTCCCAGAATAACTGCAATGATCTGCCGGAACCAGTAGATCACATCTAAAAACTCGTCCTGAGGAGACAAAGCAGAAGAAAGATTTTGGCATTTACATTGTTTCCTTTTTTTAAAGCATCACACAATTAACAGGTGAAAATTTCACACACTAAACACCCAGTTTTTCATTCAAAGTATCTGATATCGTACTCAGAGCAGACGAAAGTGGCTCATGGCATCGCGAACCCCGGACTTCTCTGCTTCCAAATTAAATACGGGGCTTTCTCCTCCAACAGGCTGACTGCAGAGGCAAACAGGTATCCAGTCCCCGTGTTTACGAAAGGTTCAATTCTACAAAAACTAACTGGAATAAAGGTTTGAAGGACTGTTTTTGTGGGAAGACTGTCACAGCCATGCTCAGTGCCCCAGGCCAGAAAGGGGTACCCAGTACCCGCACCAGCTGCAAACCACAAACCCTCTCTCACACGCAGCACAGTGCGTCCGCGCACTCTCGGAGCAGCACTAAGGCGCTTGCTGCTGTTTGCCCAGTACAACAGCACGTACTGCAACTGGACAGTGCTGACTCATGCTTTAAATAAAACTCACTTTGGCTTGCATCTTTTTTCCCAGCCTCCCCAAGGATGGGATTGGCCCAGCATCACCCCCAAGCACCAACAGCCTTCGCGATTTTACTGCACGATGTGCAAAGTTGTTTGTCTCCACACGGAATCCACGTCAGAGATGGGCGTTTCTCTCAGTCACGACATTTCTCAGTCATTTCAGCCATCACTTCACATCTTATTACAACAAAACACGGGCACAGCTTGTCCCTGCTTCCGTCACCAGCTCTGAAATCCATGCCTGGTTTGTCAGAGGGGGACAACGTCAAGCACAGGAAAGCCCCACCAGGTCTGTGAGCAATTGATAAGAAACAAGCGACACAGATTCATGTCTGCACCCCAGGGAAAAGTGGGGCAGAGTCCACACCTTCTCCATGCTGGCAGGCAAAGCCAGCAAATCGAGGAGCAGACGCCCTGCTCCAGCTCCAGGGCTGTGTGCCCAGACTGTGACAGGACCTGGGATGCTGCAGGAGCTCAGAGCCCTGTGTGGGGGTGCTGCTGGGGCACTGACCCCAAGCACCACAGCACACAGGAGATGTGCACAGGAAAAAAGGCTTCACTAGCACTAGAAACACCAGGCAGTCTGTGGCTGATGGGTTTTCACTCACACTTCGAAGGTTTGCTGACAAACACGAGCAAAACATGCAAGTTGAGCACAGGCATGAAAATCATGTAGAAACCAAATCTCTTGTTGCACATCAGCTGGCAAGGCTACGAACAGCAAAGCAGAGCACAAACAGCTGAACAACCACGACATCTCTCTTCTGCGATCACATCCATGCCACTGTGATGGAGAAATGCTCACACGCCTGTGCTGGCTGCTGGCCTTTCCCTTCACACCCGACAGCACAGCTGGATTTGCATTTCCCCCCCAGCTTCTTAAAGCAGATTGTATTTCTAGTTTTCTTATTTAATCTTAGAAGAGTTCAATCCACAGGCCAAATTCTGCAGCTTGTGTTCTCGCTGGCTCTGCAACCAGGCACCAAGCACTGAGGCTGCTGCAGGCTCCAGCGCACAGCGTGTCTGCCTTCACAAGCGCCTGGAGGGCGAGTTCTCCGGGTGAGAACAGACACAAAACCGGTTGCGCACCGGTTGTCCCGCATGGAAGTCACCGCTGGATTCCCCAGGAGCGCTGTGTTCACCCGGGGGCTCGCCAGCCGGCGCCCCCAGCTTCACCCGACCGGCACAGCCCGCCCGCCCGAGTCACCGGCCTTCCCGGGGGCGAGGACGGGGAGTGG